CAAGGGCACCCACGCTATAACAGAGGTCTCCCCGAGCAAGGGCACCCTCGCTATAACAGAGGTCTCCCTGAGCAAGGGCACCCACGCTATGAAGAATAAGACTTCTCACCCTTCGTCATACTGCTGTCCTCAACTATGTTACCTTATTTATTTATTTATTTATTTATTTATTTATTTTCTCAAGACAGGGTTTCTCTGTAGCTTTGGAGCCTGTCCTGGAACTAGCTCTTGTAGATCAGGCTGGCCTTGAACTCACAGAGATCCGCCTGCCTCTGCCTCCCCGAGTGCTGGGATTAAAGGAATGTGCCACTGCTGCCGGGCAACTTTGCTACTTTAAATGTTGGGAAAGATACAGTGTGCTATTAAAATCACCATAACATTTAAACCTGGGTACTTAAGAATTTACATTAGTTAAGCGGGAAATTAATGTGTATGAAAATATTAGGTGCAATTAAGAAATACTACACATACTAAGGACTTTGAATCAACTGTGACGTTAGGAATTTAAACTAAACCTTAGTTGCTAGATGTCTCAGAAACTCAGAACTGATAGAGGAAGAGGTAATGCAGGAAATGAGTTCCAGGCTCCCATCCAAGCGTTCTAGAGCCTCTGTATAGTGTCTGTGATAATGACCAGGAAATAAGGAAGAAACACAATCAGGAGGCAGAGAAGAAATTGAGGCTGGAAAGGGAGCATCCCAGGCTAAGAGGAGCGATTTGGCACGATATACTTACAGCCAGCAAAGACAACCGTCCCATACACGTTATCTTCTGTTGTGAAAACCACATTTGTTCCACTGTTTTCAGAAACGGTAATGTTCTGGATACGGATCGCAACGTTTTCCCCATAAAGATGGATAAGAGGACAAAATGTCTTGCCAATCTGTCCTGACAGCACTTTCGTTGGGCTGACACAACAAAACGTTATGTCTGAGCCTGCAAGAATCACTTTGTCTTGAGGAAAAACATTGGTCTCGGAATCAGGAGTCCCTAGACAGAAACAAGAGGAACCGCCAACATGTCAGACGTCTTTTACACAAAACCATCTCCTTAGGACACCTCTTTTGCCTCCTAGGATGATTTTTATTTTCATTTACTTATTTTTATCTTTATTTATTTGTGTATGAATGTGATCTGTGTATGGGATCATTGTATGTGGGTGTGTGCATACATGGAGACTAAGCTGACATAAGGTATCTTTCTCAATGTTTCTTGACTTTAGTTTCTGAGCTGGGGCTCTCAGTGCACCCGAGACCTCACCAGCTAAGCTAGATGGAAGAGAAAGCTCCAGCAATCTGACGACACCCACCCTTGGAGAGCCATGGGCAAATGTCACCATGCCCAGCTTTAAAGTAGGTACCGGGGAATCCAAACTTGGGGTCACAGAACTGCTCGAGTGGGCAGGCACTTTACCAACAGAGCCCCTTATTTTTTTTTATTATTTTGAAACAAGATATTATTCTGTAGCCCACGTTGGTTTGGAATTCACCAGGAAGCCAAGGCTGACCCAAAGATTGCATCAATCCTTCGGTCTCTGCTGAATGTCACCACACTTGACTCCTAAAATGAGCTTAAAGTAGCTCAGTATCTACAACACATACATGAAATACATGAGGATGTGAGATAACGCAGGTCTCTCGGGTTTCAAAGAAGTAAGACTCAGGCAAGAATTGAAACTGTGGCCTTATTTACTTATCCAGGGACAGAAACAGATCACAGGTCAATGTCAATGGTCATAGGTTAATGTTATATGCACAAAGACAATACCTAGGGAAGTTTATTTCTTTGAAACTAATCTGTGGTTTTGGAGCGGATTTACGGCTCATGAGCCAACAAGTGGGAAGCACCCCACAGCCTAACTAGCAGCTGGTTCTTTAATCACAGCTCTGCAGGTTAAGGTCAGGGATCCCAGCTCCACAGCTAACAGCTGATCTTTACACAATGGCCTCTGGCCACCTTTCTACCCCCCACTCTTCTCTGCCATCTGGCTTCTACCTCTACTGATCTACGCAAGTGGATCACTGGCTCCATGTTCGATCCAGGGACCACTTCTCATTTATCACCCAAACTCCCTGTCTCTTGGGTTCCACCACACTGAACTTCCTGGGCCACTCGCAGCCCCTTGGCTACCGGCCTTCCTTCAGTGTTGCTGCAGACAGGAGAGTTCCTAAGTGGAACCTTGGCCTTCAGCACATAAGCACTTCAGATCATGTACCTATTGCGATCCCCGAAGAGGCATCTACAGTGACACCCATGTCTCTGGATGCCAGACTGGCATTCCCTCCTCACCACTTGGTGTTTTAAAGATGAAACTGCACTTTTCCTAGTCAACTGGTTCTTATAGTTTGCTTCTGTGCCAACAGTCCCTCCTGCCATCCAAGGTAACAGCGGCTGCTGGCGCAGCTTCTTTCCATAGGCACCCACTCCCCAGATCAGATTCTGCTGCTCACATCTCGTCCCCCTTACTTCGGAACTCAGCTGTCCTGAGTTATATTTACAGTCTCTTGCTCAACTGCCACAGAGTCTCCTTATTTACCCAGCTGCTTCCGCTCCTTCCTTATCTGATGTTGCTCCACGGAGTGTCCACCTGCAGCGAACACCAAACATTTTCTAGATCTCATTCATGGTCACTGATGGCCCTGCCAGCACTGTTCACCTGTTGGAAGAGTTCTGTCTAACTGACAAATGGTTCTCAGCGCAGTTTTCTGCAGCCCGTCTGGGGTGGCCACTTTAGAAGGCAGCTGCTGGGATTCAGAAAACCAAGAACAAACGCTAACTCTTAAGTAATTACTCTTAAATAATCTAACTCACGAGGAACAAGGGTCTGTAATAGTAAGCTTACAAGAAATGTTCTTCAGGAGGCTCCAGGCACTCCACTCTTTAGAACCGGAGAAACGGTGATGGTTGATGTACTGTCTGATCCCCACAGAGTGAGGAGCACATTCCAGGGGCAGGTCGGAGGTCCAGTTCCACTGGTGAACTGTATCTCTACCATTCAGTGTTGTGTTGAATGACACCTAAAAATAAACACAAAGTTATGCTTCCAAACAGCGGTCCGTTCCGCTTGTCTCCAGGATAAACAAACCAGGAAGACCCCACAGAATATGTGCAGTCAGCCACAGAGCAATCTTATAAAGGCAAATGGGCTGCACTTTTGTACAGTGGCTTGTTTTCTATAAAACAGTGGGTTCTCAACCTTCCTAATGCTGTGACCCTTTAATACAGTTCCTCGTGTTGTGGTGACCCTCGCCATCAAATTATTCTTGTTGCTACTTTATAATGATAATTGGCAACTGTTGTGACTTGCAATGTAAATATAAGATATGCAGGATATCTGGTATGTGATCCCCGTGAGAGCACAGGGGTCACGACCCACAGGTTGAGAACCGCTATTATAAAGTATTAACAAGAACGTTAGACCAACACAAACATTACTCAATAATGTTTCCTTATCGACATTAGGTTCTACTGAATTACCATACAGGTGTTGGCACTCATCAAGGCCTTCAGTAAAGCAACTAAGGAAACACAGTGCTATAGCAATGATTTCCATATTTTCATAGAGAAAAACTTGTACCATGAAGAAGCACAGCCAAAGAGAGGGACTAGACACACACACACACACACACACACACACACACACACACGAGAGCAAAAGGCAGGTGGGAAATAGGAAAAATAAGGCAACCAGAAGACTAGTCTCAAGGTCCATTTTCTCAAGAAGAAAGGTTCCAAGAAAAAAGGGAAAAAGATAGAATGGGAAACCAAAGAAATAAAACAAGTTCCTAGGGAAACAGACGATACCGAGACCGCAGTGAGCCCCTCAGTGCACAGCAATGCAGACAAAGCTATAGACACACGAGTAAGGAGGAGAGCAGGAAGACAAAGAAAGGGCTCCCATCTTCCACGGGGACAGTTAAAAACCACTGCTGGAAACCATAAAGAAATAGCTATGTAAGCACATTATTTGCAAAAATGGAGATAATTAATGGAAAGAATCGGCTAATGGACTGAAACAACGTAGATGTAATCCTAGAACTAGGAAGACAGAGGAAAGAGTACTGCAAGCTACAGCAAAGCCCTGTCTCAATAGACAAATACAAGCCTGTTCCTAGGAGAGACAGTGAGAAATTGTGTGTGTGTGGGGGGGAGTTCTGGGCAGTTCGGAGCCTTCTACCCATCCTCAGGCGTGTGGGCCTTAACTGAACCACTACTGCCCAGCATTTCTCTTGTCCTAGCATCTGGGTGACACCCGGCCATCTTATCACACCTGTTGCTGTGTCTTAGAATAAGAATAAAGTGAGTGTAAGTCATAAAAAACCACTGAAATATTGAGTTGGGGGAGAAAGAAAAAGTAGTGTATATAATGGTATTTCATATTGGTAACCTAAAGCTTACTAATTTCTCAATTATCATTTTATTCTCATTATAGTTAAATGTTTTAAATATTTATTTTATGGATAATAATAGACAAAGATAAAATAACAGATTGAGTAAAATAAACTGAAAACAAGCTTTTATTCCATTTATGCAAGGGCATGTGCATTTAAAGACTGGGCATTTACTGAGTCCAAGAGGTAGAATTGGGAAATAGTTCTTCCTTAATTTCTCAACTTTCTATTACAGAAGTGATTTTTTAAAAAATACTTTTATTGTTGTTGTTGTTATCTGTGTGTATATGTAAGCGTGGGCATGCACTTGCCACAATGTACATGTGGAGGTCAAAGGACAACTTCCAGAGCTCGGTTCTCTCCTCCCACCATGGGTTCCGGGATCAGATTCAGGCAGTTGGGCTTGCGCGGTTCACGCTTTTACCCCTGAGCCATCCCGCCATCCCATCAGTGAACCCTGAAAGATACACAATCTATTTCTGCAATAACCCCCAAACTCATGGGTGCCACCTTGAAGGCTTTAAAGGCTCTGTGGTTTCTTGAGCATCATAGGAAAACGGATTTTTTGTCCCAACTTACTAATTTTATGGGTTCCATATGCGGATGCTGTAGAACCTTAACTTCCCAGGTGGCCTTCGAAGGGTACGAAAAGGCAGAGCCTTTGTCGGTCCACTTCAGGTGTAACGTGGAGGTCGCGAAGTCAGCAGACAAACTCAGAACCTCAGGAGCATCTGGAATGAAAGCTAAAAATAGGAAAGAAAAGTGAAAACTTTTAGTCAAATAAGTACTATATTTTTCACACTGTGCTTCAGTTTCTCACTGACTGCTAAACTGGGGTGAGGGGCGGCGGGGGGGGGGCAGAGGTTTTTATCTGTACAGCCAGCTCCCAGTGATTAAAGGGACAAACCTTCAGCTGATTGTTTCAAAGATATGACACATTTCCTACGGCAGAGAGCAGCAGGGTTCCCACAATACTCTAGTGTCACCTGGTCTGGGACCTGCAAGGAAGCGTGAAAGGGCTTAAAGGGCTTGCTTGGGGAGTCAGCGGGCTGAACCTTTAAAAACAAACAAACAAAGGCCAGCTGGGAAAGGGCCTCTGTGCTTCTGCAGCTTCTCACTTGGCCTACAGCAGCCGAGCCCCTTTAAAGGACACCACCCATTTAAAGAAAGAACTAAGAGCTGCTCCAAGCTGTGAGTGTCATCAAACAACAGAGACTATTCAGGTGATTTTGGCACTGAGTGCAGAAGCCAAAGACTAACTGCGAAGGAGAATGGTAGAGACGGCAGCGTCCAGCACAGAGTCTGGGGGCCTGAGATAGACACTCAGCTGGGGCAGTGCTGGACAAATCTTGGCTAGCCCAAGAGGCTATGGGTTATGATGTCAAACGGGAAAAAGACATTCTGCTCTGAAGAAATGACTGGATTCACCAAGAGGAGAAAGAAATAATCAAGATTTCACTCAAGGGCCCCCACAAGCTCCCAGGAAGCAGCAGAGAGGAAACGGAATGAGAAGCCATGGGAAGATGCCAGCTGCTGGCTTCGGATACCAGCGCTAGGAAGAGGCGTTCTGCAGCCTGCCCTGTGAGAACAACCAGCTAAATCAAGGTGTGGAGCCCCAGAGGAGCTTGCGCCGTGGGGCTGAAAAAGGATTCTGGACACAGCTATAAAGGCTGCGTGCGACACACAAATGCACCTTCAAGGAGCTGGTCACAACAGCAAGCATCCATAGGACAGAGCTCAAAGGAGAAGGAAGAGACAAAAGGCAGGACCACGGGGCTGAGAAGGCGCAGGTGTCAAACAGTCCACAGAAGACAGAGCTTGGGGACAAGGGATGTCAGGGGTGAGGGGATGGTTCTTTTGTATCAGTTGCTTTCGATTGCTATGTTAAAGCACCATGGCCAAGGCAACCAGAGAAGGAAGGGTTTGTCGGGCTTTCTGCAGGAAGCTCGGCAAGGCTGGGTCTCTGATACTAAACTATGGAAAGTCAGCGACAAAGGCTGCTCAAGAACTCGGGCACGTGTGGAGGGAAGCTATGTACTAGAAGGAAGTAGCAGGAAGAGTAGCATGTATGTCTCCAAAACTCCCTACCCACGGGGCATGACCAAAGTCTCAGATCAGTGAGCAAATGAGGTACGTGTGTAGCTTTATCTGTGAAACATAGGCTCGCCAGTGGCAGAAGCAGAGCTATGTTCTTGCAAGCTTCTTCCTCAAATGTTAGGCACGCGAGGATAAGTTAGAGGAAGTCCAGGACGAGTCCTTTCTTTTCTCACTTCTAGTCATTTCCTGTGAAACTCAAGGGCCACTAAATGAAGTCATGGTAAGTGAGAAACCACAGGAGTAAGTAAATGTTCAGGGTAAGCTGGCTGGCTGTCAAATACAGGAAAATGGCAGAATAAGCCATTATTCAATGTCAGTCTTGGAACCTAAAGATAAGTTTATAAAATCTGGTTTTACTGAAATTTGCTGAACACTGTGTGTTACACCTGACTTAATATTTGGAACTGGAAAGTGTGGATTTAAAGTCTGTGCTATGTAACAAAGTCAGCCGCATGTCAGCTATGCAGGGGCATGGAGCACGCTCCACGGAGAACCCTAAAGCGGAAGCTGCGTGAGAAAGCAAGCACATCGGTAATGAGAGGCACGGAGTGGATGTGGTGCCAAGAGAGGCTGGTCCGGGTGCCAGCACAACCAGGACTGAGCTAGCAGCAACCAAGGGTGACTAAAAACACCATAGTGTAGTAACTTAAACATGATGAAACGGGCACCCTGAACTGTAGCCATGCTGACCCATGAAAGATGTTTCTTTCCTACAACTAACACTAAGAGCCTTTTGAAAAGCCATATAAAAACCTACTCCTGCAGACGCTTCCTAAAATACATACATATATGAACAGAATTTAAATGGAGTCACCATTTAGTGGGAGAGAGAGAATGCCCTAACTAGACACATTGAGTCACAAGTAAAACCTCCAATGCCAGAAATGGGTTATATCTTATTGAGTCACTGGTCAAAGAAATCCCATACCACCACCCACACATCACAGACTATTGTCAACACTTGGCTACTCTCCATAACCGGATGGTAAGGCCCTATCGCTAAAGAGACAACCTCCTTAGATCATTGAGCACGGGGAAACTGAGCTGTACTCAGCTAGAAGCATCACCACCATTGAAGTATTTATGGTACCGGAAGATACTTTTGCATACTACTAGAGGAGAAAACTAATCATAAATTTCCAAATACAAGGCCTGTGACGTAAAACAGCAAGCTACCTGCAAGATACGCTGGTACAATAGTGGCACAAATGCTACTGGAATAACTAAGCACATTTTGGTTGGAATTTTAATGCCGACTCCATGAGATAGAGCCCAGACATGGCACTTTAAAGGGGCAGGCAAAGAACCTGAGACTAGCAAGATCATAGGCCCTAGGGCAAAACCTTCTACTATTGTTCTACTAAGGATCGCAGCAATAAAACAACCATTGCTATACCCATAGATCAGCATGTTGCTTGATATTCATCAGAAAAGCTTCTTGTTGCCATAAACAGTAATTCACACAGAGACTCACAACTGGACAACGTTCAGAGAATGAGAGACTTTAGAGCACTCAATCCTAAATGGGATGTCTTTATCAAAGCCCTCCCCACAAGGATCAGGGATCTATGCAAAAGAAGAGAGAGAAAGACTGTAAGAAGAGGTGGTGGGCTGACTTGAGGAAAACACCACCTTCCAAATACGACAGGACTGCAGCGTATATGAACTTAAAGAGACTGTGAACAGCATGCAAGCGACCTGCCCAGGTTCACACCAGACAGAATCTAGGTGGCAGGGGAAGAGAACATCAAGCCCCACTCCTAATCCAGAAGTTATTTGCAATTGATACTGAATGGGAAGGAGGTGGCCCTGGGTACATCAACCACACCCCAGAGCAGGCTCCAGGTCCAAAGTAGAAAGGACTCCATGTCTTTGGGGGTTTTGTCTTGATTTCTTTTTTCTTCTATTTGTTTGATTTTTCCTTGAGACAGACAGACAGACAGAGAACAAATAAGCACGAATTAGGATGAGTAGGGAGGTAGGAATCCAGAAGAACTTGGGGAAGAGGAAAGATGACCAAAATACATTGTATGAAATAGTATTTATTTAAATAAAACATTTAAATATGTATAGCAAAAAGAAAGGAGGAACAAAAGAAGGAAGGGAGAAGAAAGGAAGGAAGGAAGAAAGGAAGGAAGAGAGAGAAAGAAAAGATCCTTCCTTCAGAAACCCACGTAATTTACTCTTTAGCAGTTGGGTGACTGCAAAACACAGGTCACCATCCCTATTTCCACTGAGAGATGGTGAAGGCCATGATTACAAATGAAGGGATTTAAGAGACAAAAACCCACTGTAACTTCCCTTCTCTGCATAATAGCAGAGCAAACTGTCCAGGGGCCCCATGAGTTGCAATCTGCCTGTCTTTTGAACTAAAATAGACATCTGAGGACAATTTTAACTTGCACTTGAAAAACTCAGAACTATCCATACAGAAAGGAATTTAAATTGACAAAATGACCCAGCTAGAGACCATACCCACCCAACCCCCCCCCCCACACACACACACACAGATCAGCACGCGTATGCAGGTCAGAGGACAGCTTGTGGAATCTACTCCCTCCTTCCACCATGATAAGCTCAGGAGACTGAGCTCACATTGTCAGGTCTGCATGGCCAGTGCTTTACCTCCTTCATCCAGCCATCAGGAAAGACAGTCTGGACAGTCTCTTTGTTATTATTCTTTCAAATACCTACGCTGATATAGATCTTCCCCAAGACATAACCACTTCACAGAACTGGACGGATCAAAGTTAACTTCCTTTTCTTGCCCTTGCCTCTAATCAGTAACCTTATAAGGTTCATCACGTTATCATGATGCCATCCTATCACGGGTCACACACTAACAAACCTCTTCGCCACCATGTGAGACATCCGTGAACGTCAAGTTCCATCTCTGTCTCCCTGAAAGTTCCATCTCTGTCTCCCTGAGTTGCCTCTGTCCTTCCTGTATACTGGTGGCCAAGGTCCTACATGTTCACTTAGGAGACTCTGGCCGAATGCCTGTGCACAGGGCAGAACACAAAGTCCCTGCCCCTTTCCTTCAAAGAACACACTTCCTGTGGAGAAGACACAAGGTAAACATCTAACTGCATGCTGGACCGTGAATTCAATTGAGGGAAATCGCTACAAAGAACCGCAGCATGCCCGAGTGTGAGGGGGTCACCTCGGGGGCAGTCAGGCTACAGTCCGAGAACAAAGCACACCCAAGAAATGCTGGGACACACGCAGGAATGGAGGCGAGGGGTGCCAGGCTAATAACCACATGAGGGGGGACCTCAGCTTCATCTGCTTTGACTGGAAGACAAATTTGCTTCCTTCCTCAGCAAGGACACTAAGTGAATGAAAATGGCAACATAAATGAAATTCAAATAATCATAGGTTCTCAGTTCCCCAGCACCACGGTGCTAACGGTGATTTCGCTCCATTCACAATTAACTTCCAGGCAGCTTGGGGACGCACACCTCTAATCTGAATCCTCTGAACCTAAGGCTGCAAACCACAAGTTCAAGGCCAGCCTGAGCTATGTGGCAAGTTCTTGTCTCGAAAACGAAAAGCAATTGCCAATGTTAACAATGAATAAAGCAAAATTTTCTTTTAAATACTTACAAACATCTTTTTCATTCAGGGTGAAATTACTTTGGAAGCCACTCAGGTAATTTACTGTTACTTCATGATCACCAGGTGAAAGGGCCGCAATTTTAATGTTTGCTGTCTCTAATCGATGACAAGAACGGAGCCTGTAATGAAAGAAACAGAACTTGAAATAGCATATTAAAATGAGCGTCGTGCTCATAAAAGCCTGATTCAGCACAATAAGCACTAGAAAATGCTGTACGCCTTTGTGTAACGTCGGGTTGTTGGTTGGTATGTACTATATGCTAAGACCAAACAAAGAGGAGCCAATGGTAATGGTGGGGGTTGGGGAGTAACCAGACTGCCAGAAAGTACAGAGCAAGCAGAGGGGGCTCTTTGGGAAACCTCGACATCTTAGCACTGTTCAGATATCATCTCAGCCTGGTCAGAGCAGCCTCAGCCCCACAGGCTGTTCCCTTCAGCACAGGACATCAACACCCAGCGCCTCGTGCTAAGAGGCAGGCTCAGCAGAGGTCGGTGGAAGATGTCAGACTGGACACAGCGGTCCCTCTGCACATACCTTCTCTCCTTCCCCACTGCTCTGCCTCGGCTTAGGGTTCTCTTTGACAAAACTTCATTGTTTGCCTTTGGAAGGGCTTCCAGTCCCTTCTGGACCAAAGAGTCTCGCACACCACCGCGATTCTCCTCTCTGATTTCACAGCCCTTTGCTTCGCTATGGGCCATATTCCCAGTCTTATTTTCACTACTAAGAATTTGGCCTCTTGCACTGTAGCCCTCCTCCAGGGCTCAGCATGACTCTCGCTCAACATTTGCTTAGGGCTTTGGACTTGACCCTCCAGGCTCGCTTCTTTAACTTACAACCTGAAACCATCGGCATTCTCCAAACCACACTATTTCATTGATTCATCTTGGGTACAAAGTCTTGCTCTCTGGTTGCAAAGGAGATGGCGCTTGTGTCTTCTGCCACACTCCACGGTCTCCGCTCCTTTCTGAGTCACCTTACACTTCAGTCAGGCAGCTGCCATCCATTACCCGCCCAGGGTTCCAGGATCCCCTCCCCGGGACTCGAGCTAGGACTGTCCTCTGCCCCTCAGAGAACACGGAATGGCGACATGACTTTATGGGCCAGAAAACCCTGAAGCGGTCAATGGTTACCCACTTCAGGATAGAACTTCCAAAAGTCAGCACAGGCCGTGTCCCTTCTCTTCCCTCCCAACGACGTCCAAACACAAAGGGGTTTGGGGTGGAAATCCCAGCTAAGCCAGAACGTAAGCAGAAAACAACCCTTGGTTTTCATGAGGTTTGAAGACTGTTTCTGCGACACCCTCCAACTCCTCTTAACTGATAAATCATCCCAGTGCTTACCATGATACTCGGAAAACGTACCCTGAAGGGGAATAGCGGACCGTGGTTAAACACGTTATGTCTGTTTATATCAGGACCGCTTGTCAGCAAATTGCTTTGATTACCAATGCATTGTCCTGCTGGGATTAGGGAAAAGGGAGAGACGCTGTGTAGGCCTCCAGTCTCGGAAGCAATGTGTCATGCCAACCCAAGATTCACTCGAGCTATAGGTGATGCTGAGAGCTTTCCCCATCCTCCCAAGGCCCATTTCCGTCTCCTCCTTAACAACATGGACCCGATGCTTACTGGATTTGCCTCCCGCCTAGGAGAATTTATCTCCAAGACTCTTGAGGAGCTGGACTTATTAGCATCTGACACGATCTGGCCAGTGTCAGCCTAGGGGTTCTGTTGGACTTCTTAGGAGTCTTCTAAATAGAAAATCATTCCTCCTTGCCCTGCTCGCTTCTTCAAATGCAGGGCTACTCCTCATGAATCAACTTGAACCATGAGATTCCTGGCAAAAGATGCCAAAGAAACCGGATGACAAGGACAGGTTCATCAATGACTGTGCCGGCCCTGAACTGCCACATCCAGGCCACTTCCCCGAGAGTCAACACCTGTGTGTGGAGCGGCTGTCACTGTTGCAGGCATTTTCTGTGAGACACAGACTTCATTCTGACAGAGGCAGACACTGGTTTGGCTAGACCCGCAAGGCCCCGTGACCAGATCAGTACACTTGTGGGCGGTACTCCACTTTCATTCTGCGTACATCGGAAGGAACAAACCTGTGGCTAGAAGACTTTGTTTCCATCCGGGCTAATGTAAAACAGAATTTTTAAGAAAGAGAAGAAGAGTGAAAACCTCCTTTGGACACCCGGGAACAAAACTGTCACACTCTACAGTAACCAATAAGGATGCTCTGGATTACAGCTTTGGGCGAAACCCAGGATTTCATTACCTGTCTCTAATGCAAACTTCTTTAACGGTCTCAGGGCTGAACCCAAGGGGCTCTGTCCACGTGCAGTCCCACACTTGCATATTTTTGGTTGTGCATTTCAGATTCTGAATTGCTCCTAAAGGAGGAAAAGCAACACACAGGTATATACACAGCACAGAGCACACACGGGGACCTCTCTGGGGCACTTTGAGGGTCAGTGTCTTGGTGGCAAGACAAGTACTGGGGCCACAGAGGACCACCCTCTCCACGAAGAAAGGACCCTACTCATAGGATGCTATTTTGTAGCTGTTTTTCTAACTCTGTTTTCGGTGGGTTTTTTAAATGAATATATTTCTAAATTTCTTAAGATTATAATACAACTACATCGCTACCCCCTTTCCTATCCATCCTCTAAACCTTCCCATGTATACTCCCCTTGTTCTTTCAAATTTATGTCCCTTCTCTCTTCAATTGTTGCTAGTTGCTGTTACATATATTTGTGTGCTACATATGTATGTTACATATATTTATATGTGTGTGGACATGTGTGTATGTATGTGTGTATATGTATATATGTATTATGTATATGGTTTATCGAGACAGGGCTTCTCTGTCCTGGAACTTTCTCTGTAGACCAGGTTGGTCTCAGGCTCACAGAGATACACCTGTCTCTGCCTCCGAAGTGCTGGGATTAAAGGCGTGCCTCACCACCACCTGGCTATATATTCCTGAGATATTAAGTACAACCTGCTCAGTCCATATAATGTTACCTTTACGTACATTTTCAGGGCTGACCATTTGCTCCGGTTAGTCCCTTGGCATGCTCCTCCTTGGGTAAAGCTGTTTCTCCCACTCTCCTATGTCAGCAGGAACCAACAGATCTCTAGTTGGACTTCAAACCCACTCAACAGAAGGAAAATCAGGCCTGGAACTTCAGCCAACTATCTGGGGCTACTGAATCATGGATCATGTAGGACAACTGACAACAGCCATTTCACTAAACCAGCACAGTCCTTAACTACACTCTAAACATGTGTCCTTAGGCTCACAGAGAAGCATTGCGAGTCCTTATCCCTCATCAGGGAAACCTCTCTTTGTAACAGTTGGAGACCATTACAGAAAACCGCAACTGATCAAACTGAGGAGCTGCGAAACCCAGTGTTAATGGATACATTCACAAAACAACTCCTACACCTAAGGCTCAGGGGTTATTGCAGACGAAGGGGTGGAAAGACTTTAAACTCAGAGCAACAGGGGTTCGCTGTGAGACTATTTCTCCTAGAAATGTCAGAAGCTCCACCCATGAGTTCTCATCAACATTGCTGCTTAATCATGACCCGAGCAAGGAAGACACCAATAGACATGCTAACATGGAAGAGCGACCACTGTGAGGTTTCAGCCCTGGACAAAGAACTGCAGTCAACTAAGAAACTCTGTCTGTGTGTGTGTGTCTGTGTGTGTGTGTGTGTAGGGGTGAGGATGTGATTTGTTTTTTTAAATTAAAAGGTGACTAATAAAAGCCAGGTAGGAGAGCAGTAGCAAACTTTTCACTTCCAGAGAAAAGAAAATGTTCCAGAAAAGCTCTAGGCGTACACCACATCTATAAGCCAGCCTAGCTGCGGCTGCTTCCCTGTTCATACCAGACTGTCCCTCCACGGGAACCTACAATCAATCACTATTGTAAATTACATTCAAACACCATGAACTCACACCAGCCTATAGAAAACAGTCTCGTGTGTGTGGGCTTAACCAGTGCGAAAGAAACAGCTCAGACGATTACAGTCCTAAGAGTCTGTACCCACACCCATACAATGGCCCTGCATGATAGAATACATGGGCACGGACATAGGAACCACACAAGGAAAAGCCACCCTGGAACGGAGCTGAAAAAGAAGGAAAGGGCATTGAAGATGGGAAAGGGTAAGAAAAAAGGGAAAGTGGGGGAAAGGGAAGGGTAGAAGGTGAGGGGTGGATGGAAAGAGAAACACAGAAAGGGAAGAGGAAAGCAAGAAGGAAGGAAAAACAGTATGAAAATTTATCTCATACTCCATAATGTCTACGAAAAGGCTTACTATCTTTATGTATTACAGGCCTGATACTCACTGCTGTCATACATTATAAATTAACCTAAAAATCAGAAGCACCTTAGAAATGTGCACAGTAGTAACCAGCAGTTACCACAATCACATTATTTACCTCATAATCTTGGGGAAGAGGTCTTTAATTATGTAAACATTATAAAAATAAAGTTGCTGGGCAGCAGAGTAGTAGCATCCTTCACAGAAGTGAGCCAAGCGGTATCTGCATAAACATTCCTAAAAACGTTTTAAATAAGACACAAGAAACACACGAAAATAGTTTCGATTCTGTTTAGAAAAACTTTCTCCAACGACAACACTTGGGACGGACAGCAGCACTGCTGGCTGGGCGGGGCGGGGCGGGGCGGGAAGGGCTGGCTGCTGGGACACAGTGGGCATTTTCTGTGCTCTGGAATGCAGCCAGATCTTGATGGTGCCTGGCTTAGCAACTGCACATTGTCAAAATTCAGAGTACTGTATCTATCCTAAAGGAATGCATATCATTGTCTGAAAATTATGCATTATTATTTGTATAGGGTGAAAGAATATTTTGATCTGCCTTTGATAAAGAGGCTTTTAAAAAGAAACTAAAAACACATAGGAAAAAGACTGTAGAGAAATAAGTTTTAGCCGGTAAAACTCTGAGGTCAGTAGAGAAACAGGACTAGTTTAGAGTGGACAGTAAACCAGCTTGCTCATTTGCTGCAAGGCTTCCGTACTCACCCCTCTTCAGACTATTGGCTTGCAGGGTAAGATGCAGAAGCGTGAGTGCCGACAGGAGCCATGGCAAGTTTGGAGTCATTCTTCTTCTCTGACTGCTCACCATCCAGGATGGCTGCTTCCACCAGGAGTAAACACCCATCCTCTGTGCTGTGCCGTCAGTCCTAGGATGAGAGAGGAACACAGGGGCTGTCCAGAGGGCTCAGAAGACACACCTCCCTCTGGGTGCACAACACCCGAAGCTGTCAGGACATACACTAACGCATGCTGTGTGCTCCTGGGTGGAGAAGCCAAGCTCGGCTGCTCTGGCTCTCAGACATCAAAAGCTGCTTGCAGATGCTGCCTGCTTTCAGGTGCTTGCCACAGACAGCAGCCCCACAACAGGCTTCCCGTTCAAGATTACCCTGAACACACGTGCATCTCCACATTTCACCCCAACACTGTTAACAAGGAAGCTAACCAATGTACTGACTGATATTAACACAGCCTAGGTTTGAGCCCTAGGTATCCCATTTACTGTGTGGCCCCAAATATACTCAAAGGGACCCTAACCGATCTGTGCCTAGGCACCCCTCTGCAAAGCTGAGGTGCAGATGCATTTTCCTACTAAGTTCATTATGAGAAGCAAGTAATTATAAGCACGTGAAAGCAGTTGAAATGTGCAAAGCTCATGGTCAGGCTATATATGTTTATTGTGTTGTGTGGGGGGTGGGAGAGAGAGGAAACAAGAGTGACTCCTAGTCTCAATGGCTACACAACGCATCCCTGGGTGCACAAAGAAGCAGGCAACGAGAGTGGAGGTACAAACTAAAGGATTCAAAGATCTGTTTTAGTTGAGTGCTTCCACTCCACATGACAAACAGAAGCCTCCTCCCACAAAACACAGAACACTGTCCAGGGAGAGCCAGAGCGGCTCGCACAGACACGGCTGATTCTACTGCTGGTTCACTGGAGTAGTTATGCTTCTTCCCATTTTCCAACAGACGTATCTGACAGCCGACAAGACCTTCCACTGCACCAACGTCTGGTCAGACCTGACAGTGCCCACCCAGCTTTACACTGCACAAAAAAAAAAAAAAAAAAAAAAAAAAAAAAATCAAGGACCTAAAACATATGAGCAATGTCTAAAATGTGAAAGAGGCTCAGGATAATGGGAAAACAAAAATCATTACAGAAGAAACAAGGCCAACATGGAAATCAGCAAAATTCTAAAGATTACATTTTTCTTTACAACAGAATGGTATTCCATTACACACACACACACACACACACACACACACACACACACACGCATTCAGGTACCCCAAGTTTTCATCACCAATTAGAATGACTGCAATTTTTTGCTGCAGTGAATAAAGCAGCAATATGATGCTGCAAATTCCTCTAAACTAGGGTATGGTATTCCCTAACTGTACAGAAGTTCACAGAGACTTCTTTAGACCATGGTTCGTTTCAGTGTGTGCTGCTTTTTATTTGCAACGTTTATTCTTTTTTTATTAGAAAGTTAACAAAAAAGGAAAACCAAAAACGTCATAACGTTTTCTGTGAGCAAACGGGACAACCATAAGAACAAGGAGTTCATGCCACAAATGTAGCAATTGGAAGCAAAAAACAGAGCTAAAAAGGTATTAGACTGACGTTGCATTTTTAAAGATTTATTTTATTATTATCATTATTATTATTGTGCATGTGAGTGTGTGTGTGTGTGTTCCCACAGGCACGTGGCTGCCCGAGGATGCCAGGAGAGGGTGTCAGTCCTCCAGGACCTACAACTGCAGGACACTTTTAAGCCACATGATAGTGGGTGCTGAGACGGGAACCCCGATCTTCCGTAAGAGCCATCAACACTCTTACCTGCCGAGCCATCCCCCTGCCCATATTAAAATAGCTAAAACACCAAGTAAACAAAAATAGAAAATGGATGAGAGATGGAGACCCGCTAGAGAAAAGAGATTCAGCTTCTTGGTGACCAAAGCCTGAGAGAGAACACGTTTGTCACTGACAGCAAAAAGAACACTCTCTCCTTGGCTACAGCTGACCCCTGTGAAAAACACGCAGATGAATCTCAGATCCCTTACATAATTATAACCCAAACACATTCGAGGTACAAGCACAGGCTCCTAACCTGTTTGGCTATTTTCTAGATGAGTGAACAGGTTCCCTGTCAACTCCAATGTCACCGAGAATGCTCATTAGCATGAAAATGTATTCATGGAATGTCCACAGTACCCGCTGCTGAGGTCCCAGAATTACACAGCTGTGCCGGAATGGCTCAAATCAGCACAAACTCTACCCTCCAAATGGCTCAACATATGTTGGGAGAATGCCTCACTACCAGCTTATGGTTATTCTAGAAGGGAAACTCAGGTTCCATTGCCATGCCAGGCAGAAGGGATGAGAGGGGCTGGGAGGAGGTGGCCAAGGAAGGGCTCAGGACCAGGTGCTGCCAGACAGGGACTCTAATCTTGGCTCCATTACTAATTAGTAGTGTGACTGAGGGCAAATCACTTAATCCCTCTGGCTTCAGCTTCCACCAGTGTAGCCCAGAGGCAGGTCCTGTTTACCGGCCACAGCAGACGCTGAAAGCCCAGCCGCAATGCTCCTTTCCCGCCAACAGGAACAGGCAGTGCTGAAAGCTGGGTAGTTGGTTGGCTGGCACAGACCTTGCAGAGGGGAAGCCACCTCCTGAGGACTCCTGTGCCTCAGGACAAGGTGATCCAGCAGAGAGGAACCAGTGTGGCATCAACATGACCTGCCCAACTTAAAACAGGCAGGGCATCCTTCGTCTTCGCGCTCACTTAGAGCACTGGGATCAAGTTGTGTGGACACTATCACAAGATGCTAGCAACACACTCAACTTCCCATCCAACCCAGACTTGCAAGGATCGGAATTAGAGCATGCCTAGAACCTTCCGATGCTTTCCCAGATAAAAAACGACGTGAAGAAACATCTCTCTCCTCATTTCTGCCGGAAGCAACCACATTAGAATTTACTCTTTGGCCTGTGACCATTCCCACCCCCACCCCATTAAGAGAAGAACAAATTCTTACAGTATTTCGGTAACTAACTTGCAAAGTTCGGGCAGCTACCTCGTGAAGCAGCCACAGGGTTACTGCAAGCATTTGGTGGTCAAAGCAGCCAGAATATGGGCAGGCAGGTGGGAACCGCAGTCTCCAGGCAGGTAGTTTAAAGGAAGCAGCTGGCAGGCATGGTTTGCTAAAGTCATTAGATTTTTCAAGATAGGACAGGAATCTGGGATTTCTTAGGAAATACTTCAAATTTTGAAGATAGGCAACTGATTCCTATTTTTGGAGTATTCTAGATACCAAACAAATATCTATGAATAGTATAATTATCTTAAAAGATTTTAAAATGTTCTTACACCCTTCTGTTTAAGACAAGTTAGTGTATCGACATGGAAAGAAGAAACTCTGTATTTGTCCTTAATACACATTCCTTCAAGGGAGCCAAGCCTCAAGCTCCCTCCCAGGACTATAGTGGCTCTGTATGTATATCTAGTCTGCCTTGCTTTGCCCTCTGCACTGCGGATTCTGGCTCCAGGTTCGTGAGGTTTTGGACTCACTGCTGAGGCTAATGAGAAAAACGAACCGAGAAAAGTAAAGCTTAAGCCAGCAGCTATGGTCCTAATAGACTTGGTCTAGTTGATTTGTGTCTCCTGTTTTTATCTGGGAGGGGGAAGGGTGAGGAAGGAAGACAGAGAGAGGAAGCAATGTGCCTGGAGTATGTTCCCATACCTTGCTGGTGTCGTGTGTGCCAGGGGCCTGTAGGCCCTTAACCAGGTACTGTGGGAAGCATTTAGAACACCTGCTCCGTCCCAGCCAGGGAGACTCCTGCCCGGAAGCATCTTCTAACTACACCACAGTGAGATCCTCCCTTGTGAATGGCAGGAGAAGGTACAATGAGCTAGAAGCTTGGGAGAGCAGTGTTCCTGACTCACTGGAAGGCAGAATAGAGCACAAGCCAGTCAGAGCGGTCCCCCGCCCCCCCCCCGGGGCGGGCTGGGGGGTGGGGGGCTGCCGTCCTGCTCCAGCACTCTCTGTCCAGAGGCCCGGCTCTGCGGAGCTCATGGAGTGAGTCTATGCATACACCCTACCCTGTATCACAGGGACAGGACAGCACAGTCTCCAGGTGTACGCTCAGGTGACAGTGTGCAAGAGACACCTGGGCATGTTTCCAGTAAGACTGGTGGCAACACACATTGAACTTCTCGGCGCTGAAAATTAAAAGAACACGTTTTAAAATACAAATGATCGCTTTCAGACTTCATTTAGAAAGACTGAATTATTGACTGTGGATACAGAAAGCACCGAGACCTGGGAGGCTCCAAAGGTCCATCTTCCATGACGCGTTCTTTGGAGGGTTCTGAAGGACAAAGTTTACAAAAATGGGGCAGGGAGAGTGAGCGAGGGGAAACGGAGAAGTAGAGACGAGGAGAAGGGTACTGAGGAAAACCTGACTCAAAACTGCACTCCATGCCCAGCGTGGATCTCGTGCTAGGCTTCACCAGAACTAAAAACTCAAGCTAATGGACCTCTCGACTGCCACCTGTTCTTCGGTGAATTCCCTCTGCGTCCATTTCTAGAACCTCCTTGTGCCGTTTTTTACAAAACTCCTGGCAGGAAGAGTGACATATTCATTGTCACTGCCGAGTCCCTGCAAAAAAGGCAGCCCCCGTGTTTACATAGTCACATCCCTGCCAAAGTGGTACAATGTCCGGCCCATAAGCATAATGACAGGCCCACGCGCTGTTCTTATCCTTAGGCCATATGATATCCCCAGTGTTGGGGGAGTGGACGTTAGAGGCGTGATTCCCACACCTTACACCGAGGAACCCCAGGCACCAAAGCCAACTGACAGGGCTATCAGTACCCCCTCTAAGAGCCTTGGCCTGATACTACTCCGTTTCCACGTGTGGTCCTGTTAGATGTCCTTCAGTGACAGTACATCTCTGCCTAGACTGCAGGGATCATCTTTCCCAAAGACCTACATGCCGATGGACAAGAGGGTGATGTACCACCTGTTTCCAAAAGTTTGAGAGACTGCATAGCACCCAACAGGTTCACATATCACTTCCGTAATCATGGCGTTGGGAGAACGAAACAGCCAACTTCTTTTTCCTTTTGAGTTGACATGCATGACTTC